AAACTTTCGTGTTTATGTATGGGTGTGATGTATCGTAGTAGTGTGTCCGTGTGCTCATGTATATGCTGCGTTTCGTGTTTAGATGGCGCACACCATCAAAGGCCTCGGCCTTGGGGGATCCTCTTAAACGGGGGAATCACAGAATACATGGCGGCCACCTATGTTGATCATTGAATACTAACCAAAGGAAGATTTCTACCTTACAGTTGGTACAATGCAACGTATATTCGAATAAATAAGGGGCCTAGTGCGGATTTGCCCCGTGTACGGATTTACCCCACTGCACCTTATTTATAGTTACCTAGATTAAGTTGTAGGTGAAATTGTTCAATCAAAGAAAGAATTGGATTGCAATGGGATCTCCCGAGTATCTACGTACAAAAAAAGGGATTCGAGATATTCTTTCGTTTATTCTTAAAAGTCAACTGTATTGGCGTACGCGAGATAAGGTGTGCCGCCAATTGGTACCACGGGAGACGAGAGAGTTAACGAAAAAAAAAAAAAAAACTCGTCGCATATCTCATAAGCTCCGTCTCGCTGGTACAGAGACAAAACGGTCCGAGCGTGAGATATGCATTCCGGGTGGCTGGAAAAACGTCGCGCGCCGGAACGAAACGCGCAAAACATCGACAATACGGCGCGCGGTGCTCGCGCTCTTCGTTACACCGGACGATATCTCGCGCGACGTCCGTCCGACGAACGCCTGTCGTTTCCTCCGTATCATCTCTCTGGCAATTCGGCGGCTCCTTCGGGGTGTCTGCGCGTCTCCTCGCGTTTTTCGCGCCGCCGCCATCTCTCTATTTCTCCGTCTCCCTTATCCACGTCCGCTGTGCGCCCGGAATCTTGCAGTTGCAAATTCCTGCACGAATGTAAACGCCGGCCGGGACGGCTTTACGAATTGTTTCAGTTTACCTCCACCAACTGCAGATCCCCTTTCCTACGTTTTCTCCTTTTTTCCCCCCCTTCGTCTCTCCCTCTCTCTCGTGCCGCCGTTCCTTCCTCTTTCCTTCTCTCGGTCGTGTATGTATGTACGTGGCCACAAGCCGTATCGCGGAAATTCCACATTTGTTTTCGTTTTCCGGCGCCGTCGCTGGCAGAGCAGGAAGAATCGCCAGGACGAGAAAAACAGCGGGAAGGAAAAATGTAGGAACGGGAATGAGAAAGTTACGTACGTATTCGCGGTTTCTATTAATACACTGATTCATTATCATTAGGGATACAGCGAAAGAAAGTTTCGCTCCTGACGATATCGTACAAATTCCCATATTTGTAAAAGAAACAATATAATTCGAAGTAAAACAAAGAATGCGTTTCGCTTTATTTTTCTGTAATTTTAACTCTGCAAAAATGTCTCTTTGTAAATGAAATCGGAGGATACCTCCTCTTATCCGAAAACATATTTAAAGAATCTAGATCTTAAAAAAAGGAAACAAATTGAAAAGCACTGCTTCTCGTTGCTTGTTTCGCATGAAAGCATTGCTTCCTCATTAGCTTATTTCGTTAACGTAGCTCTCCCTGAGGGTAAGTTATTTCACAAATTTGGGCTTCCTCATAGGGGAAGTTTTTTTCACCAAATTTTAACGATGCAAATTTTTAATTTGCCCAAAAAAGCCTCCTCTGTGAGTGAGCTCGAATTTATAAAATGACTTACCCTTAGGAAGAGCTACGTTAACGAAATAAACTGAGAAAGCAATGTGTACATTTTCAGTTTGCCACTCTTTTCGTAATTATCTTTTTAAAATTAATGTTGGCGTGAAATTATCCTGAATTATTACGAAATTAAATACCGACCGTCCTTGAATAACATTCTACATATGTGTGTGTGCGTATATTGTGTGTTTTTAATATGCATATACAGGGTGTCCCAGGAGGAAAGGTCAATATTCTGGGAGGTGATAGTATCGGTCATTTTAAGCGAAAATGTTCATATGAATATACGTCCCATTCCCCACTGTTTCCGAGATAGAGCTACTTACATGTCTCGTGTATCTACTTTTTTCAGTACACTTAACCCTTCATCCAACCTCATAAACGTCTGCGGGAATTTACTCTTATACGTCTGTTGACTGTTGTACCGATAACATTGTAGAAATGTTCAAAATGCCTCGCATATTCACATCATCGAATATGCAGATATGCTGTATGTTTACGGTTTCTGTGATGGTAGTGCAACTGCAGCTGTTGAAGAATACCGTCGACGCTTCCCTACACGCGGAATTCCGAATCGTAAAGTGTTTTCCAAGGTTTTCAATACACTGCGTGAAACTGGAGCGCTTCCCAGTGTTCATGTTTTATCTGAACGAGGACGTCAACAAAATGTGCTCTATCTCGGAAACAGTGAGGAGTGGGACGTGTATTCATATGAACATTTTTGCTTAATATCGCCGATACTATCACCTCCCAGAATATTGACCTTTCATTCTGGGACACCCTGTATAGATATGTGTGTGTGTGTGTGTGGGCGCGCGCGCGCATACGTATATATATTCACGTATAAAAAACTTAGCCCGAGATTTCCAATTTTGCAAAAGCTAAAGAGTGCATTTTTGTTATATTGCACATACGCACACGCATACATACGCGGGAGAATTTTCTCTGAAAATTTATTCTGAGAATCGCGCGATCGTGGGCATTTTGAAGAACTTTATGAGAGTTTTTTGAAATTTTACCATACACTTCACTAGTAAGATGGATACTAACAATAAGTATAATTGCTAGTGAAATGCAAGGTAAAGTTTCAGACAACTCTCGTAAAATCTTCGAAATGCCGCGTCGTCCCACGATCACAAAATTTTCACGATAAATTTTCAAAGAAAATTCTCTCCGCGTACACATCTATATAAAAAAAACAATGCGTCTTTCGACGTTTCGGAACATTTTCGACGCATTGGCGAGGAAAACCGGAAAACAAATTTCTTGGCGAGAACAAAGCTTCCTCCTCTATGAGGAAACAGAACCTAAGAGCAATAGAAGACGAGGCTACTTCTACCGCGACGTGGTCCTCGGCAATTACTTTCCGCTGGAAATACATAAGCCCTTATCACATCGACCGAGGGTTAACGTAAGAGGAAGGGCGAGTTCGCTCTTATCGCGCGACGTTCGAGAGAGAGTCCGTGGAAGACTCTTCTACCCGGCGGAAATACTCATGCTGGCACAAGCGCGGGATGAAATCACATTGTGCGTATTGTTCCAAGACCCCTCTTTTGTTCTACCCCTTGCGAACGGCGGATCTTACACAGCCACTCAGCTTCTTGTTTCCTGCCCGGCCGCCTTTTCCCTTTTCTTCCCTTCATTACACGCAGCAGCAAAGCGAAGTGGCGCGTCGGGCAAGTTCCGCGTTTCCAACCGGCTCTTTTTTTTTTAGTCAGGACTTAGAAAGGAAAGACGGGGGGGGGAGGAGGGGGGGGGGGTACGAAAGCACCGTTTGAAAATGCTCGAACCGCAAGCTCTCTCGTTTCTCACATAAAAAAAGACAAGGGCACGAACGATGGCGTCTCGGGGATCGCGATTGTAACTCGCACGGGGCGATTATTCCCAGTATGTTCAACGACGTAACGGCAGGTATTATCGTTGAGAATTATCGCGCTCCTCGTGTCTCGTTCCGCGAGCGGCGAGAACGTTGAAATCGAAACGCTCGCGATATATGCGGTAATAAAACGAGGTCCCGCGGGGGCCGCGGGTTTCTGTCGAACAGGAGGGAATTTTGTTTTCCCAAACGTGCCCATGCGAGTATAAATGTCGAGTACAACTACTTCGCGGATTGTTCGCATACACCTTCCCCCCCGTCTCTCTTACCGCCGCCATACCTTTCGCGCCATCTCCGCGGGGTTCCGGTTCCGTGCGCCCTTTCAGAACAAAGATCGTACCGCGGAAATACCGCGTGCGTTTTCGTTTTTCGAGATTATCCTCGTAGCCGGGGCAGATAAGAGCCCGGGCGCGCGCACGAAGCTGCGTGAGTTAATAAGGGATTCCCAAAGGGGACACGCTCCAAGCTTTGTGCAAGTATAATGGGTACCGGAGCTGGTGTGCAAAGCTGATGTTCAAAGACAATACAACTTTGGCTTGATACGCCGCGGATCCTACGCGATTCCCACGGACGCCCGTCGCGAGAGCTCAGCGCTCTTGCATTTGGCGAAAGTGCATCTATTACCCCCGGCATATTAGCTAACGCAAATGAATTTCCAACGCAGTAGCGCGTTAGGCGAGAGAAAGGGAAAATGATTTAAACGTTCCCCCCGTTCGCCGAACAGTAATAGGCGTGGGCGCGCGAGCCGATGCATTAATTCCGCAGTCGTCCGAGTTGTCCAGGGAAGAGATACGTGACCGGAATGTCCAGCAAATAAAGTGCACGGCTCACCTGGATGACGGTAGCCAGGGGACTCTTGTTGGCCGGATAGTCGAGGCTGTCTCGATACGCCCAGGCGAGCGGCTCGTAGGTGCTGTGATTGGCCTGAAAAATAGTCCAGTCGCCGCCAGGAAGTGGTCCCCAGGCCGTTTCCCCCGATCTGGTTAATCGAAGAATGGGAGACGCCGCATTCAGCTGAGCATCCTGAGGGAAGAAAGAGCGACCTGATTCTATGTGCGGCCCGCACAAAAGTTCCCGCTCGCGCTCGTCGCGCCAGATTCCCTCCGCTTTCGGGGAAATGAAATTTTCGGGGGCATCACGCGCGTTTTAGCGCTTTGTTAAAAGAGGGCTGCTGCCCGGGGCCAATACCGATTTTACATTCGGAATATCGCGTGCGATAATTTCATATAAAATATGCGGGGTGAAATGTGTTAATGAGTAGGAAAATTGTTTAAAATTGTGAAAAATTATTTAAAAAAGGATACGCGAATAAGCAGCGGGAGAGGAGAAATGTATTTGAAAATTTGAAAATTGCTCTCAACATTCCAGGTTCCATTTATACCGCGGGCGCGGAATAATTCTGATTTTATATAATTTATGCCAGAAATAAAATTAGTCTAAGCGAGCCCTTTAAATACGCCGAGAAAATTGATAAAATCGCTTTGCGGTTATGCGGCTGTTTCAAGAGAAATGACACATTTCGTGCCCGATGAGTATGAACAGCACTAGTTTTGTTACTTCTTTTTCCCCGAGTGGCACGATCGTTACTCACGTGATATGCCACGCGTTCGAGGCACGATCGATACTCCAAACTTTTAAGAAGATTGTAACTTATTTCCCCATTACGAATATTGCGGTGGTAAGAGGCTGCGGATGGTTGATATCATACGGAATTAAGAATCGAATAATTAACCATCAGAAAGATCCGAGATATGTTGCAGTGCAAATTAATACAAGCGCGCGACGTCCACGGAAAAATAATATATTTCATTATATATATATAAAAAAAAAGTAGAAAGGATACATTCGTTTTATATTACTCGTACATGCGTTGTAAGAAAAATGTACTACTACTATAAATGTAATACCAATAAATTGGAATTTTTCATACATCATTTAAATGTACTAAAAATATATGACAAAATGTATGATATATACCTATACATTATAATACATAGCTGTGTATACAGGGTGAGTCTTTCCATATCCGACAAAATTTTTGAGAAGGTAGAACGGATCGAGATGAATGGAAAAGTCCTGTACCATTTTGCAATTTTCGTAATAGTTAACGAGTAATTAATTATTAAAAATCGTTGTCTTAGGCCGGCCTACCGCCCAATTCGAGCGCGTGGCGAGATGTGCGCATAGCAATATCGATCGCTAGGCGGTCACATCTTGCAA